ATGGAAAAGAAAATGGAAACTACTATAATGGGTTAAATAGGGGTTATAGGGTGTATATTGGGGTTATATATAGGGATCATGGAAAAGAAAATGGAAACTACTATAATATAATAGGATATATATAGGGGTTATATGGGCTCAGCCTGCAGATAAGCTTTGATCTGTCTGAATAAGCAAGAGTATAGTAGTGGGATGTCACAACACACCACAAAAAGAGCATGTTAACGAATATGGACAACTGCGCTTCGCTGAGTAAGCCGGCGTTGCGCTGCTCAACCCCCCCGACCGCAAGGATACAGGCACGAGCTCTAAACCCTACTCCAAACAACAAGCCCCATCTTACACCCTAGCTACTGCTGGCAAGGAGCTTTCGCCATCCTCGTCCTCGGGCGTCGGCTCCTGAAGCCACTGCCAGTGGATTCAGGTAAGCCCCTAAACCCTAAATCCTAAACCCCTGAACCCTAAACCCCTGGACCCTAAACCCCTGGACCATCCTGGACCCTAAACGCTCTAAACCCTAAACCCTCTGCATGCAAGAATCAAGCCACCAGCCCCTCACACTAAATCTTCCCCAAAGGTGAAATGGTACAGTGTTACCTTGAGGGAGTACTTGTTAGCAGCGTGTTCCGGATGACATGTTCTTGAACACTGCTAGCGTTCAAGCCCGCCATGAAGTCTGGTGACATCTTCGAATAATTGCGTCGCTAAGCAATCAAACAGTCAACCACATCAGTTCACGCAAAAACCAAACTGATCATATTGGTATTTATGCACTCATCACACCGCACCGCTAGTAGTACGCATGCCTCCACGTGTTTCACGTACAGTCCACCGGTACCTCTCTAGCTCCGTTTTGGATCCATCATAGCCTTACAGCCTTCCGCCGCTGCGACAACAAGTTCTGCTCAGCCTAAGCCCTAAAGCCTAAACCCTGAGCCCTAAACCCTAAACCCTAAACCCTAAGCCGTAAACCCTAAACCCAGGTTGGACAGCTTTTTTGACAAGCACCCAGGCGCCTCCTCTTCCATGGCTTCCTCAGCTTCCTCTTCCTGCCCAAGTAGCTCAGGGCCGCAGGGTCCAAGTACTCAAGACTAGCTGATTCGGGCCCAAGTGGGCCCCTACATAGGTACTTTGGGCCCCAAGTACATGCTATTTAGGTACTTGGACCCTAGGGGCGTCTAAGCAGCTCATTTCACGAGTAAGCTGACCTACAGCCCCTTCAAATCCCTAAGACCCCTGAACCCCAACACATGCCGCAAGCAGCTGCTGCATCTGAGAGCTCTCCTCGTCCGGCGCAGCCTCTTCCTCAGCACCCTCCTCCTGGTGTTATGATGCGGGCAACGGCACATGAAGGAGAACTTGCACCAACCAGTGTCCCTAATCTACTGCAACGTCTACAGTTTAGTGTAGACCGGGCTATGCAAACTTCTGTCCAGCTACAGTATGTGGAGTAACGGTATTGCAGAAAGTAGTAAGTTCGAAGGAGAACACCCTCTCCAACACATACAGCAATGCTCGTGAGAAACATATTTGCAAGAGCTACAACAAGATCCGTAGAGCAAGTATCTAGACTGCTGGTGAATATCACAGACACCAAACGGTCCAGTACGACTGGCCCTGCAGTGCCCCGAAGGAGCCTAGATCCCAAAGTCTGAACCCTAATGAATAGATCTAATCCACAAGCGGCTTAGGATTAAACACTGCAGCACCTCAAACAGAACAGTCAGAGTTCGAGATGACATGGCACTGGTGTGGCAAACCTTTAATCCCAAAACATATGACTGCACATGTTGAAGTATAGCCTTAATGCTACGAAACCTTCGCCACGAACCTGAGCCCCGGAGCCTAATTTCCAAACCTTAAATCCTAGACTCTTTTCCCGAATCCCTGACTCCCAAAATCGAAGCCCGCAATCCTCAACCCAAAGCGCCCTAAACCCTAAACCTGAACCGATAAATGCCATCTCTCCTCGCCGCCGGAGTCTGCGGCCTCTTCCTGCAATTGGCCATTTAACTTTGCTTGCTGTAGCACCTTCTAAAGTGGGGCATTTTTAGGGTTTAGGGTTAAGGGATTTAATGTTCTAGAACCATAATGGCAAAAATATGCGGCGTTTAGCCTTAGATTGCTTTCGAATGTTGCTGGAACTCACAATGTCTTGCTGATGCCTCAGGCCAGTGCTGTCTCACCTTTGTTCCACATGGGGTTGTCCAAAATTAGGGGTACCTTTCAAGGGGTTATGGGGTATACATATATATATATATGTATGGGGGCGGGTTATATAGGGTGAGGGTGTAGGGCTTAGGATTTCCCAAAATTCGGGGTACCTTTTTGGGGGTCCCAATAATAAGGACTACAATATGCTATCTGGGGCTCTATATTGGGTTCCCCCTATTTTAAAGATTTGCCTACATCTTGCTGACTATCCCCATCCCAGCCCCGTGAGCATGAGCAAAGTAAGGAGCAAACGGGTTCTGCGCCCTAAGCCCTAAACTCACTATATGCATGCTGCATCAAAAGACCAACTGCATCCAGCTCATGCTACCCATCCTCATGGCCCTGGCGCAGTTGCCACTGTTGTCTTTTTTCTACAGGCGATATGAAGGTCTAAGACCACAACTCAATGCTTGGTCCGTCCAACGGGTGAAAACAACAGTGATTTTCTGTAACTTTTAAACCTCGCAAGAATACTCATTGGGGTTGATTTAGTTTGTTTTTAATAGTAAGGTTATATAATATAGCCTAATATTTAAAAAACACCAATAATTGGGCATGAAGCGAGGGTTTGCAGCGCTGGCCTTAAGGGATGCCCAAACTGTTCCGGTAGCAGTGTTCCTCGGACTGCAAAGAGGGTAGCTAGGGTTTAGGGTTTAGGGTTTAGGATAGCGTTTTTTTGCTGGTTAAAATTGTGTAAGATTGTATTCCTTATATAAGATACTATACCCCAAAAGGAGGATATATCCTTACTGTGTTGGGTACCTACTACTCAAGAGGTTTGTCTCCTTTAGCTTGAGATCAGCAACCTCCTATTCGAGCCATAGCCTCCCAGAATTCCCATTGATAACCATTGTTCTGGTCCCCTATATAGTCCCCTAGATAACCCCCCTTATGTAGTGTAGACTATAGCTCCTATGAGGCCTCAATCTTGGGGAGGCCTCGCATGTCAAAAAGAAAGGGTCATGCAAAGCTGGCGTGCGCGAGGTTCTGCAGCCCTGAATGAAACAAATGGCAAATTTCTAGGGATCCAAGTATAAGAAGAATACCTACATTGGACCCAAAAGTCTGTCAGTAGCACCTACATTGAGCTGCTTGGATCGTGCTGTCTTGTTGATCATACTCAAGGAGCTGCTGTAATGTTAAACCTTCTTGCAGCTGAGTCGCATGAGGGTGACCCAGCCATCTGGATCCAGAATTCTGCCACGCCTTGCCCAGGGCATCCGGTTAACAGCTACTACGGCCTGAAAATGCGGATGGATTCCAGGCTTCTCATATGCAAGCAGCTATGGAAGCTGTTGGAGTGTGCATGCCGGTCATGCAAACGCTGGGGTGGGCACACACGCTCTTCTTCAGGGAAGTCCTCAACTTCGACAATTTCGATCTCCTGCACACATGTCCCGTAGTAGCACCGAGGCTGGAAATCCTCAAGCACCCTGTACTCACGCAGCTAAAATGTGACTGAAGGCTACAACAGCAATCGCCGAGCCCTTATCAAGTCATTTGTCAGGTGCTAATGACACAGAGGATACACAAGCACGTCTTGCCTCACCCTCCTCGAGCTCGGCGATGAGCTCGTCATCATCGGGTGCAAAGATGTCAGCCGCAGGCGACACAAAGGTGGGCCGCAGGAGGACGTAGATCCCAGCTGGGAAGGATGGCCCTTCGGGTTCTTGCTCGCCTGGGCCCAGCTTGCAAGAAAGCTTGTAGCTTGCAGCCACTCAGCTTACTGTGCCACTGCCATAAAGCATGAGCTTTGATGTAGCTGCAAGCACCCATGCATGCGTGCCTACACCTTGGCACAAGATGCGGGCCAGTCACCAGGTTCGGCCTCTTCATGCGGGAGCTCCTGCCTTGGAAAAGCGCAGCTAAGCCCTACCATGTTCACACTGGACTAGGAAAAAGTCGCATGGTAACAGCGTAGGCTCCCGACGAGTCGTCTTCACCTTGCACGATTGGGGAGGTTGTGGGTGCTCAGTCAGCAACAGACCCACTGCATTTGTTGTAGGCAGGTTGTGAAGACTCGGGAACACCATTGCATCATTAAGAAATCGCGGAATGTGCCGCTCCCACAAAAAGGGCTAAAGGTGCATGTCTTTCCCTAGAAGCCTAGGTACGCATATAGCAGGTCCTTGGGTAGATAGTATACAATTATATAGGGGCTTAAGGACAGGAACCCAATATATAGGTAACTGGGCTTCTAGGGTTTGATTCAAAGCAACACCCACAGCGACCATTTTGGGTAGGCCCTCGAAGCTTCTGTAAGCCGCTTGTATCACGAAAAAAAATTACAAGCAGCTAGAGCTGTTAGGTGGACCCGCACCCAGCAATACTGTTGACACTAAAAATCCTGCATGGCCTTCATATACTATAGTACCATCATTCCCAATGTATAAGGTACTTAGGGTCAT